GTTTATGTTTGCATTTAATTCATATTATTTTATATTTTTATTTTTTATGATATTTGGTTACATGTGTTTACATATTATTTGGGCCAACACTGCGACCAGTCATTGACCAACGAAAAGTGCAATTTTGCATTATCAGCTTTTCTTGTTGGTCAATGGCCTATAATTATGTCAGCACAGCGTAGGCAAATTTATTTATTTGTGAATTATGCATTAATATTTATTGTCAATTAATGCATAATTTAATAGCTTGTTAATTAAATAATTTTGTATAAATATAAGAAATAATTTTAATAAAGTTCAGAAGGAAAAGAAAAATCAATTATAACTTTCTTACTTTCTCGCATCGGTTAGTTTGGGTTTCAAGTGCTCAAACTAATCAAAATAGAAAATACAAGTAGTTTGGGTTACAAGTGCTCAAACTACATTACACATAAAAATTGGCTACCAAGCTAACACAGATTAAGGATCTGGGTTAGCACCAAGTAGCGTACATTTTTTGGTGACCCCGACGTGATTGTTGATGAAATATCAGCTTTCATTTTGTTGAAATACATATCAAAGGAGTCAATTACCTACAAAAGGACACACCAAAAGGTCTACTCAGTAACCAGCTGAAGTATTTATTCATTGGAATTTTCGGACCGAAAATTCAAACATCGCCATGGATGCGTTATTAAAGAAGCAGTCAGAGCTCGGTACAGAAATTGAGCGACTGATAACCAATTTCAAAAAGGATTCTAGTACCCGCAAGCAGGATACCACATATTATGAAGATCGGCTAAATAAACTAAACACGTTGTGGGATAATTTCGAATCTAATGATGCTGAAATCAAAGTACTGCCACAATCTGAACTTCAAAATGAGTATTTCAGTGCAGACTATTTCAAAAAAATCTCCAATCTAGTAGTCACATATGATGAAAGATTCAAGCTGGAGAAATCAAGGCTACTCCTGAAACCACAGGACGAGAAGCCAGTAGTAAGCCCAAGAGGGCCAAATAATACTACATCGCTCATGCGAACCATGCAGAAGCAATCCTCATTAATGCATGCACTACGCACGAGCATAGATGAAATATATGAAGAAATAACCATAAAACATCATCCTAGTTATTATGATCTGAAATATTCTCTAATAGAAAAATATCAGAAGGATCTGAGGGATAACAATGATGAAATATGGTCATCAGTCGACGCACAAGACATCGTCGGATATACTTGGGATCAATATTATTCAACGGATAAAGATGCCCAAAACGTGTTAATATATTTAAAACAACACAGTCAACCAACTGAAGGATTGACGTCAGAGGGGCCTGCAGCAACTCAACAAATCAGACTTCCAAAAATAGTTTTACCAACATTTGATGGAGACTATTTGAAATGGATTGAATTTAGAGATTTGTTTCAACAATTGATCCATGATCAATCAATAAGCGCAGCCCACAAAATGTTCCATTTATCTACAAACTTGGCAGGTGAGCCAAAAGCCCTCATACGGCATCTGTCAATTTCCGAGCAAAATTATAATATAGCTTGGGATATTCTGTCAAATCGGTATGACAACAAACGACTCTTGGTGACAGCATTACTAAATAAATTGTTATCACAACCAAATATAACAATTGAATCAGCAAGCAGTCTTAAGGGCATACATGATGTTACAAAAGAATGTTATTATGGATTAGCAGCTCAAGGTATTGATGTTAAATCTTGGGACGCCATAATGGTTCACGTAATTATTAGAAAGCTAGACAAAGCTTCACATACGGCATTCGAGCAATCGTTAGAAGACAGCCGAAGAATAATTTCATTAAAAGAATTATTGCGGTTCCTAGAAGGAAGATTTCAGGCATTCGAATCAATGACGAATGGAAACCACAAACAAAGTCACAAACCACGACATCCAGCAGTAGCACTTGCAGCTACAGACTCAGGATCAAAATGTATTATTTGCAATAGTAGTCATCAATTATTTTCATGCGAAACTTTCAAACGTAAATCCATACAACAGAAGTACGATTTACTAAAACGTCATAAATTGTGCACAAACTGCATGAAACCTGGTCATATGGCATTACAATGCTCCAGCAGGGGTTGTACTATATGCCAAAGAAGACATAATACACTGTTGCATCAAAATAGACACCCAATTCAACCATCAAATCATACGTCAGTTGAAAACACTTCAAGGCCACTTGCACAAACAACTCTAATGTCATCCATCAATCATGGTCATACCAGTTGCGTTCTTTTAGGAACAGCAAAACTTTTAGCCTCCAACTCTAATGGAAGAACATTCGAGTGCAGAGCAGTACTGGATTCAGGTTCACAAATAAATATTGTGACTGAACGATTGGCATCCAGATTGGGGCTGCAAGTAAGCTCCAGTTCGATTTGCATCGAAGGCATAGGGATAGGTAAATTGAGTTCAAAAAGTCGTACAACACTTTCTGTGCAATCAAAAGTGACCGATTACAAAACAATACTTGAAGCATTTGTGTTGCCAAAAATTGTATCCAATCAACCATCGCAACACTTACAAATTTCAAATTGGAATCTGCCCAATAACATCCAATTAGCAGATCCTACATTCTATAAGTCTGACAAAATTGATATGTTGCTTGGAGCAGAATTTTATCATCAACTCCTAAGTCCTGGTCAAATACAACTTTCAAGGGAACTACCAATTCTACAGAACACTGTGCTCGGATGGATCGTATCTGGAAAAATCCAAAATGCTAACACAATGATTGCAACATGTGGAATAGCATCAGAAGATAGTTTAGAAAACGCAATAGAACAACTTTGGAAGGTTGAAGAAGTTGATACTCACTCAAAGGTCTTATCAATAGCAGAACAACAATGTGAAGCTCAATTCACTCAAACTACATATCAGAATGTTACGGGACGATTCATCGTTCGTCTTCCTTTTATAAATGACAGATTCGCTTTGGGAGATTCGAAAGACATTGCTACAAATAGATTTCTAGCACTAGAGCGTAGACTTTCAAAGGATAGTCATCTCAAACGACAATATGTAGAGTTTTTAGATGAATATGAAAAATTGGGACATATGACCGAAATAGATATTGAAAGGATTATGTCACCACATTACTTTATACCACACCATTGTGTGCTTAAACCTGATAGTACGACCACCAAGTTACGTGTGGTATTTGATGCATCATCCAAAACAACATCAGGGCAATCTCTCAACGATTTACTACACACCGGACCAACTGTTCAAAGTGAATTACTATCTATTTTATTACGATTCCGTCTTCCTCGTTATGTGTTTACAACAGACATTGAGAAGATGTACCGACAAATACTTGTACATCCAGAAGACAGACAATGTCAGCTTATCGTTTGGAGAAATGAACCAAGTCAACCGATAAAGTACTTTGAACTCAACACAGTAACATATGGTACTAGATCAGCACCGTATCTAGCAACCAAATGTTTGCAAGTTTTAGCTGATGACAATATGCAAAATTATCCATTAGGTGCATCTGCTCTCAAACAAAACTTCTATGTAGATGACTGTTTACACGGGGCAGATAGTCTGAGAACATTGTTGGAAACTCAGAGTCAATTAAACAAAATACTGACAGCAAGCGGTTTTAAATTGCGAAAATGGTGCGCAAATCATCCAAGTCTACTACAAGGAATTCCACACGATGACTTAGAAGTCAATTTAGATTTAGAAAATAATAACGATACAACAAAAACTCTTGGGTTATCCTGGTGTCCAAAATCTGATAGTTTATGCGTCAAGGTTAAATTGGAACCTGTTTGCAGCACGACTAAGCGCAGTGCAACCTCAGATTTAGCAAGGCAATTTGATCCACTAGGACTTTTGTCACCAGTTGTGGTGATGGCAAAGATCTTTATTCAAGAATTATGGAATTTAAAAATGGATTGGGATGAAAAACTGCCGACTGAATTACATAAACAGTGGTTAGAGTTCCGGAACAATTTGACGAAAGTAAATTGTCTGCAAATATCTCGTCATATTTTCAAGGGCGAAGTTCCTGCCAACATTCAATTACACATATTTACAGATGCATCAGAAAAGGCATATGGTGCTGCAGCGTATTTGCGATCAACACTTCAGAATGGTCAAATTATTGTACGACTATTGTGCGCTAAGTCTCGGGTTGCACCTTTGAAAAGGTTGACATTACCTCGTCTCGAACTTTGTGCAGCTGTGGTTGGCGCAGAACTAGCAACAAGAATAAAGAACGACCTACAAATAAGAAATTACCAGACGTTCTTTTGGTGTGATTCACAAATAGTGATATCATGGATCAACTCTCCATCATCAAAATTTCACACTTTCGTTGCAAACAGGGTAAGCAACATTCATCAATTAACAGCCACAAGTCAGTGGCGCCACGTCAGTTCGGAACACAATCCAGCTGACATTTTATCAAGAGGCCTTGCACCCCATAAACTACAGTCATCAAATATGTGGTTTTATGGACCTATGTTCCTGCATGGTCGGGAAGAACTATGGCCTTCAAAACCATCATCAGCGTTAAAATCCGAAACCCTCATTGATCCTGAACGGAAGAAAGAAACTCAAGTATCTACATTGTCTGTTGTTGAAGGCACAGCAAATCCTGGAGAGTTCATATATTCAATAAGACACAACAACTCATTTGGAAGACTTCAACGGATATTATCGTATATTTTAAGATTCGTAAAAAGAATCAGAAGAAAACAAAATGATCATTCAAGCAATTTTTTGACTCCAGATGATCTAGATGCAGCACATCAGGTCATCATCAAAAGCATTCAATATGCAGAATTAAATCAAAATTATGAAATCTGATGGAAGAATAAATAAGTCCAGTGCATTGACATCACTGGCACCTTTTATTGATAATACAGGCATCATAAGAGTTGGTGGACGGTTGGATGCAGCCTCATTATCGTATGACGCCAAACATCCTATGTTGTTGCCTTATAACGACCCCATTGTCAAATTAATAATGGAACAAGTCCATAAGAAATACATGCACTGTGGTCCGCAGTCTCTCCTAGCTAACATGCGTCAACGATACTGGCCAATTAAGGGCAAGTTGATGGCAAGGTCAGTAGTACAACATTGTGTACGTTGTACTAAAGTAAGACCACGATTTTATGAACAACTGATGGGTAATTTGCCAGCGACAAGAGTACAACCTGGGCGACCATTCCCCACCACTGGCGTGGACTTTTGCGGACCTTTTTGGATACATTACCGAATCCGAGGCAAGAAACCACACAAGGCATACATTGCTGTGTACTGTTGTTTTACAACTAAGGCAGTTCATCTCGAAGTAGTCAGCGATTTAACCACAGATGCATTCATCGGATCGCTGAAACGTTTTGTTGCTCGAAGAGGACACTGTAAAAATTTGTTTTGTGACAATGCCACAAATTTCGTCGGAGCAAGTAATCAATTACTTGAACTTGCAGACTCAATTCAAACAAGTAAGGCACAAGAGAAGATAATTAACGAATGTAATGAAAGAGGAATAACATTTAAATTTATACCTCCTCGTGCACCACACTTCGGTGGACTGTGGGAAGCAGCAGTCAAATCAGCAAAACACCTATTGATACGAAGTACTAAGACCACGTCACTAACATATGAGGAACTAGAGACTGTGGTACTAGAAGTCGAAGCAATACTGAACTCTCGACCATTGACACCTATGTCAAGTAATCTGAATGACTTGTCAGCATTAACACCTGGTCATTTCTTAATCGGAGAACCACTCACAGCAATGGCAGATGCAAAGGCCCAATCAGGAAATATAAATCTGGTGACAAGGTGGAAATTAGTTTCTCGCCTCAAATTGGATTGTTGGGAACGTTGGAAAACCGAGTACCTCACTGAACTACAATGTCGACACAAATGGAAAGCAGCCAATACAAGAATGGCATCAGGAACTCTAAGACGTCCTTTGACAAGACTAGCGCCTCTGTTTCCATCCGATGAACAATCTCCTGTTTCTGATGAACAACTTTCAAAAAGTTTTACAAAAGCGAATTCGAAAACACCACACGAAGGCACAGATCAAGACGAGCCACCTAAAAAGAATTATAAAACCAGCTAACTAAGGAAAATTTGACATATCTTCCCTCTAGAGCGCGATTAAACAGTATTCATCATCATACGATAAGTTATTTGGCGTTGTTAATTTCTATAACAATAATCATAATCATTACTTGGAAAACCAAACACAACAGATGTCAGAAACACACAATAAGCGAAATTTCAACACGAGGAAATGATATGCAAAATGCAGAATTACGTCAACAAAATTTGGACTTCACTGTGACCACAACCTAGGACAAGTTGAGTTGGCACTCAACGGCGGGGAGAATGTTTATGTTTGCATTTAATTCATATTATTTTATATTTTTATTTTTTATGATATTTGGTTACATGTGTTTACATATTATTTGGGCCAACACTGCGACCAGTCATTGACCAACGAAAAGTGCAATTTTGCATTATCAGCTTTTCTTGTTGGTCAATGCACTGAAGAAAGTGTGTAATATGTTGGCCTATAATTATGTCAGCACAGCGTAGGCAAATTTATTTATTTGTGAATTATGCATTAATATTTATTGTCAATTAATGCATAATTTAATAGCTTGTTAATCAAATAATTTTGTATAAATATAAGAAATTATGTTAATAAAATTCAGAAGGAAAAGAAAAATCAATTATAACTTTCTTACTTTCTCGCATCGGTTAGTTTGGGTTTCAAGTGCTCAAACTAATCAAAATAGAAAATACAAGTAGTTTGGGTTACAAGTGCTCAAACTACATTACACATAAAAAATTGGCAACCAAGCTAACACAGATTAAGGATCTGGGTTAGCACCAAGTAGCGTACAGTATCAAAACAATATCCCGTATGAAATATTTGTTTTGATGCAATTGATCAATAGTTATAATGATCATTACAATAAATGATCATTACAATAAATGATCATTAACTCCTCCGCCCTTAAAAATTGAGCGTCCCGATCAATGGAGTTGCAACAGTTTACTCAATGGTTATAAATATCATTAATAATATTTTTATAACGTACAATCTTATTTTAATATAATTTTACAATTTAGATATTTCCATTTTTAGCAGTTGTGCTATGCACATGCATTCAATAACTTAATTAATTTAATTTAATACAACTTGTCAATTTAGCTATAATATTATCAATATAATTTTCTTTAAATATAATTTCTTCTTTCTCTTAAGAATTTAACTTAATACAAGATTTATTTCCATTTTTAGCAGGTGTGCTATGCACATGCATTTGGAATATTTTACAATAATTTAATTCATTTAATTTAAAATAATTTTTTAATTTAGCTATAATATAATAAATGTAATTTTCTTTAAATATAATTTCTTCTTTCTCTTAAAAATTTATCTTAATACAATATTTATTTCCATTTTTAGCAGGTGTGCTATGCACATGCATTTGGAATATTCAATAACTTAATTAAGTTAATTTAATGCAACTTGTCAATTTAGCTATAATATTATCAATATAAATTTCTTATTTTATCAATAATCCTTCTAAAGTTTGAGAGGAAAAAAAAAACATTTCTTTTTTTTAATCAATTCATGTAAAAAACTTTTGCTAATAAATAATTATTTTCTGTATCCATCTTGAATTTCTAAAAAAGAATAGTTAACTTTTTATATTACTTTTATGAATTGTTTTTCCGCTTTCTGTAATAATTGTACTATTTTTGTTTTCTTTGACTATTTCTTTTTTAAAACGCGGTGTTAATTTGGTGCCGTATCTTTTATTAATTTTAATGTAAATAATTTGCCCCGGTACATAGGCTTTAGGTGGTATCTTGTTTTTATTATAATAACTGACGTCTTTTCTTTGTTTTTCAGTCAGTCTTTGTATGTTGTCTTGTTTTGCTAGTTCGTATTGCTTAGGGTTTATAAAAACTCTACGACCAAAAAATACTTCTATGGGTTTTTGTGTTGTAGTTGAATGTATGGAATAGTTATATTCATATATTGATCTATCTAGAAGCTCTTCAAATGATCTTTCAATATTTTCTGTTTTTAAACATCTCAAGATTTCAGTCAAGGTTGAATGAAATCTTTCTATTTGACCATTTGCTGTGCTGGTATGAGGTGGTATTTTATAAACTTTAATTCTTAACTGGTCTTCTAATAAAAACATAATTGATTTTGAATTTAAGCTTTTCTCGTTATCAATTACTACGGACTGAGGAATTCCGAAGATGAAGAGTAATTGTCTAAGTGGTTCCCTAATATATTCTACTGCTTTAGATTTCACTAATCTGGCCTGAGTATATTTTGAATATTTGTCAATGGCTGTTAAAACTAAATTTTTTTCTGCAATATAAATGTCAATATGAATGATTTGTCCCGGGAATGTTGGTATAGGGGTGGATTTTATTTCAAGTTTATTAGGGTGTCTATCATATTTGTATTCTGAACATATCCTACATTGTTTTATAATATTTTTTACCTTTGCTAACATTTTAGGAAAATAAAATTTTTCCAATAATTGCTTCTTATTTTCTACGGCGTTTCTATGAGCTCGTTTGTGTTCGAGAATTATTTGTTGTTCTTGTTGATCGTTTGTTTCCAAATCTTTAACCTGTGTTTGAGTGAATCTAATTTTAATGTTACCAAAGTTTGTGGGGTAGAGCTTTTGGATTTTACCCATTATCTCTTCAGATGTAAATAATCCATTTATAAGTGATGGATTTAAGTAACGTTTGAGAATTGATATTAGGTCACTTGCAGAATAGTGAGGCCTAGTAATTGTATGACGATGGTAAGTCGGAAAAGGTAGTTGGTACTGGTAATCTTTCTGTCTTCCTACTAATATTATAATCTGATTTTTAAAGACGTTTACTGGTGTTTCTATTGCTGGTATAAGATTGTGTCCAGAACTTTCATCCGAGTGAGTTGCTATAGATAATGAATTTAATTCGGGTGGTCTCGAGAGCGTATCTGCAACTATATTATTACTGCCTGGCTTATATTTAAGCTCGTAATTATACTCTTCCAGAATTGATTTCCATCTTTTCAACTTGACGTTATCATTTTTGTTGCTCAATGCGAATGTGAGCGGCTGGTGATCGGTGAATATTTTTAATTTTGCAGTACCATATAAGTAGTTTCTAATAGATTTCAGAGCCCAAATAATTGCCAGCATTTCTTTTTCATTTGCAGCATAGTTTTCCTCTGTTTTACTCAATGTTCGTGAAATGAATGTGATTGGTTTTCCACATTGTTCTAAGACTGCACCAATAGCGTGATTTGAAGCGTCAGTAGTTAAATGAAACTCTTTTTGGAAATCTGGATATGTTAACAGTACTTCTTTTGAGATAAGAGCGTTTTTAAGTTTGTTAAAGGCTTCTTTTTGTACACTGCTTAGGTTAACTAATGTTTTTTTCGATTGATTTTTTGAGACTCTCCCATTTTGCCCTCTCAATAGATTGGTAAGAGGCTTCGCTATTTTGGCGTAGTCTCTAACAAATCGCCTATAGTAACCTGATAGACCAAGGAATGCTCTTAAATCTTTTAATGTTTTTGGACAAGGAAATTCGACAATTGATTTTACTTTAGCAGGGTTAGTAGAGATTCCTTCGGGAGAAATAAGAAAACCTAAGAACTCGATTTGTTTCTGGAAAAATTCACATTTATCTAATTGGACTTTCATGTTAGATTCACGTAAGGTATTAAAAATTTCGCGTATATGGTCTGCATGGGATTTTTCATCTTTACTAAATATAATGATGTCATCTATGTAGACATAACAGATTCTTCCTATGTGTTTTCTTAAAATATCATCTAAAGCTCTTTGAAAAATCGCTGGAGCGTTTTTTAGTCCAAATGGTAGTCGCGTAAATTCATATTTTGCATTGTTTAATGAAAAAGCTGTTTTCTCAATGTCAGATTCTCTTAAAAGAATCTGGTGGAAACCACTTTTCAAATCGATCACAGAAAAAAAATTGTTTTGTCCTAATTGCGCCAATACCTCATTAATATCAGGAATAGGATACCTATCAGTTACTGTAACCGCATTTAATTTCCTATAATCTACTACCATTCTGTATTTTTTTTCTCCAGAAGCATCTTCTTTTTTTGGAACTACCCATATTGGTGAATTATAGGGAGACCTAGAAGGTCTAATAATTCCATCTTCTAGCAGCTTCCCAACATGGAAGGTCTAATAATATTACTTGGATTTGCCATTTGGACTAATTTAGAATTCGAAAAGTTTATCACAAAAACTTAATGTTAAGATCGATTAAAAAAAAAAATTTTCGACAAATAGAAGAAGATAATCAAAATACAAAGAATTAAATTTATGAAACTATAATATACTTAAATATACTTATACTTATATTATACTTAAATTCCCCTGGTCCAAGCTGCTGCTCCACCAATCAGGAGCTCCTTTTTGGAATATTCAAACCTACTAAGGGGCGTCGTTTCTTGGCCGGTTTCTTGTAGCACCTTTAATTAGTGGCACTTTTGAGTAGTTTTTTTTTCAACAGAAAAAAAAATTTATTGTCACTTTTAAGAAAATTTGTTTCAAAAAATATTTTTGATCTACTTATGTAACACTTTTATTTAGTGGCACTTTTGAGTAGTTCAACAAAAAAAAAATTTTATTGTCACTTTTAAGAAAATTTATTTCAAAAAGTATTTTTGATCTACTTATGTAACACTTTTATTTAGTGGCACTTTTGAGTAATTTTTTATTTCAACAAAAAAAAAATTTTATTGTCACTTTTAAGAAAATTTGTTTCAAAAAACAAATATTTTTGATCTACTTATGTAACACTTTTATTTAGTGGCACTTTTGAGTAGTTTTTTATTTCAACAAAAAAAAATTTTATTGTCACTTTTAAGAAAATTTGTTTCAAAAAACAAATATTTTTGATCTACTTATGTAGCACTTTTCAGTAGTTACTAATATTATTAGCTCGGGCGCCAATTATTTTATTTCTTTGAATAATATTTTTACTAATTCTAGTCGCTTACGCAGCGTATTAAAAACTAAACTAAAAACTAATTTTACAATCATTTTA